CATCAGATTTTTACAGCTCATTCATATTTCCTGCCAGTCCAAAAACAAGATTCCAATCAGGGATCATTTTTTTTTGCCATAAGCAGTGTTGCCTAGCAATGTGATTGATGCCTACATCTACTTGGTTTCCAGAGGAACAGAACTAGGTGGTTAAACCAAAGGTCAGATTCTCAAGAAGGCAAGGAAAAGATTTGTTAACTCTTTCATCTCAGTATGCAACAGACCCACCCAGGGAATTCACATATTAAAGTTATCAAAATATGCTTACTTGCTCTTTGAACAAATATTTAAGAGCTTACACTATGAGTCAGGCACTGTGCCCGACACAGGGAATGCGGTGGTGACTTAAACAGATGTGCCATCTTCATATTGTTTCCTCCACCCAGTGATACCCTTCATTTCTTCCATTGCCTAGAGAACTCCTGTTTATCCTTGAGATGTTGGCTCAGATGTTCCTTCTTCTCTGAACTCCATGTATACTCTACCCATCTAGCACTTTGTACACATTGCCCTGAGCTTATGGATTGGTTTTGTGAATCCATAAATGAATCCAATACATCAATTATGTGTGCATGTGGGAATGTATGTTTGAAGGGGCTGTAAAGCTTTCATCAGATGTTCAAAGGAGTTTGAGCTGTCCCCTCCGCCCTATAAGAATTTATAACAACTACTCTGTTATGCGCATTTATTATATGATGATTTTATTATTTGTTTATAGGTCTGTATCTCCTACTAGAACATAAGTACCTTGAGAAAAGATACTGTATGTATTAATATTTTTGTCAGCAGAATGCCTGGTTCGTAGTAAGCTTTTAGAAAATGTATGTTGAAAGAGTCACTTCTTAATATTTGTAACAGGCTCAGCAGTTTGAATAATGCTAATGGGGCATCATTTTCTAATTTAAAAGGGAACATTTTCCCTTATATTGAACTAAAATTAGTTTTTCTTGTTCTCAGCTCTGTCCTCTGGAGTTCTAAATTAAATGTCTTCCATATTGTAATTGTCCTTTTATGAGACTCATGGTTGACTGGGGAATCAAAGAAAAAGGAAATGATTAAAAAATGATACATTTGTATCTTAAATATTTTAATTTAAAACATGCAAATGTACATTAATTTACTAATATTTTATTATGGAACCAATATCTTTCTGTTGAATATGACTCCACTATTGTATAGCTTTTTTTTTCTCTTAAGCCATCAAAAATTTATCATCTACAATTTCTAGGTTTCTTTAAAGTGAAATGAAAAATTGGACACTGTTGAAACATTCTGATACCAGAATTTTTCTAGATTTTTTTTTCTTTTTCTCCCTCTCCCCAGTGTTCTATAGTTATATATCCCACATCCCACCAGTGATTTTCATTACAATTAGCTTTCATCTAGTCTGAAATCTTTAGTTTTTAGAGGAATAGCAACAACACATATTTCTTTGTTTTAATTTATGTAATTTAAATTATGTAACTAGTATAGATGTATAGGTGGCATAAATAGGTCTGCGATCAAACAAAATTGACTCTTATTAAGTACATAATTCAACAGATGGGAGCAAAGTGTGTAAATAGTCAGAATGCTTTAAGCTTCGCAGTGCTCATTGACATTAGGAAGAACTTGAGTATGTTTCTCTTCTCAGTTTCTCTCAGGATGAATTATTTTGAAATTTTCTTGTTATCCTGCTCTCATTTCTTCTCCCCTTAGACGACTTATCTTCCTAACTTAGAGTAGAATGGAAGTAAACCATCTTTGGCTTATTTCCTATCTATTGTTGTCCAGCAAATAAATAAAGCCATTAAAACACACATACAGCCGGGACCGGTTTGGCTCAATGGATAGAGCATCGGCTTGGGGACTGAAAGGTCCCGGGTTCGATTCCGGTCAAGGGCATGTTCCCTGGTTGCAGGCATATCCCCAGTAGGGGGTGTGCAAGAGGCAGCTGATGGATGACTCTCTCTCTCATCGATGTTTCTGACTCTCTATCTCTCTCCTTTCCTCTCTGTACAAAATCAATAAAATATATTTTAAAAAACAACAACACACATACACACACACACACAACTTGGTAGCTAATATAAGGGACTACTTAATTATAAGGATGTTCTAAGAATAAAAAATAATGGCAGAGTGGTGCTTAATTTCTCCCCTTGAGTGTGGCCTGGACTTTATGACTCACTTCCAAGTGATATAGGAAGAGTATGCAAAGGGAGAAATAGTGACCTGTGGAGACACCTAGCAGATACCAAGCAATCAAGATTAGCATCACCAGGGATAAGTCATGTTGATAAAGTGTACCCTCTGATATGATGTGATGAGAAGTGCACTTTACTTCTGGTATGCTTCCCCAGAACCCATAGCACCAGTCTAATCTTGAGAAAATATCAGACAAACTCAATTGAGGGAGAGTCTACAAAATACCTGATTGGTACTTTTTAAAAATCTCAAGGTCCTGAAAAATAAGGAAGACTGAGAAATTGTCACAGATCAGAGGAGATGAGGGCACCATGATGACTAAATAAATGCAGTGTGTTATCATGAATTGGATCCTGGAACAGAAAGAGCTCATAATTGGAAAAACTAGGGAAATCCAGATAAAGTTGGCACTTTTGACAAATCTCCCATGGTTATGTAAGATGTTAGCATTAGGGTGAGCTGGCTGAAATGTATATAAGAACTATCTGTACTGGTTTTGTACCTTTTCTATAAATCTAAAATTACTCCAGAACATTTATTAAAAATAGTAGGTGAAATAATTTTAAAAAAGGCTTGAATGATTTGAAATTTAAGACATGTGAATTAAATTAAAATGCAATAACAAACAGCCGGGACCGGTTTGGCTCAATGGATAGAGCGTCGGCTTGGGGACTGAAGGGTCCCGGGTTCGATTCCGGTCAAGGGCATGTACCTTGGCTGCGGGCAGATCCCCAGTAGGGAGTCTGCAAGAGGCAGCTGATCGATGACTCTCTCTCATCGATGTTTCTAACTCTCTGTCTCTCTCCCTTCCTCTCTGTACAAAATCAATAAAATATATTTAAAAAAAAAAAAAAAAAAAAAAAAAATATTTGTCACTGATGTTAGACAAAGGACTAATATTTTTGTTTTGTATATATATATATATATATATATATATATATATATATTTTATTGATATTTTACAGAGAGAGAGGAAGGGATATTTTACAGAGAGATATTTTACAGAGAGAGAGAGAGAGGATAGAGAGTTAGAAACATGGATGAGAGAGAAACATCCATCAGTTGCCTCCTGCATACCCTCCACTGGGGATGTGCCCGCAACCAAGGCACATGCCCTTTACCAGAATCCAACCTGGGACCCTTGAGTCTGCAGGCCAACTCTCTATCCATTGAGCCAAACCGGTTAGGGCAGGACTAATATTCTTAACATAGAATATACTTTTACAAATTAATAAGAATATACTAATACCTCATTGTAAAATAATCATTGATCACAATTCACAGAAGAAATAGTGATCAATAAATAAAAATCTAGTTCAATCATCCCAGTAATTAAAGAATTGCTGATTAAAGCAGTATTGGAGCCCTGGCCAGTGTAGCTCAGTTGGTTGGAGTGTCATCCCGTACTCCAAAACGTGGCAGGTTTAATTCCCAATCAGGGAACATACTAGGCTGAGGGTTTGATCTCAAGTTAGGACATGTACAGGAGACAACCAGTCAATGTTTCTCACATCATTACTTCTCTCATGCTCTCATTCTTGTTCTCTCTGTGTCTCTCTCCTTTCCTCTCTCCTTTTCTCCTTTTCTCCCTCTCACCCCTCCTCCTTCCTTTCCTCTGTCTCTAAAAATAAAATTTAAAAGCAGTATTGGAAACATTTTCACCCATTACATGAAAAAAAATTATAGTATTCAACTTTGAAGAAGGTAAGTGGAAGAATTATAGATTGGAACAGCCTTTCTGAAAAGCAGTTGGCCAATATACACTGAGTGACCAGATTATTATAATCTCTGAATGCATAATAATCTGGCCACTCCGTGTGTGTGTGTGTGTGTGTGTGTGTGTGTATTAGAGGCCTGGTGCATGAATTTGTGCATGGTGGGGTCTGGCCAGCCTGGCTAGGGGAAGGGGACATGGATGCTTAGCCAGTCTGTCTGCTGGTCAAACTGCTGGTTGAGAGGATAATTTGCATATTAGCCTTTTATTATATAGGATATGCACTGTGTGGCCAGATTATTATACGTTCATAGATCATAACAATCTGGCCACTCAGTGTAGGTATAGGGTTTGAAAATATGCATACCAGCCGTTGGTGGCCAGGTGGCTCAGTTGTTGGAAGTGTCATTTTGTACACCAAAAGGCTGCAGGTTCAATTTATGGTCAGGGCACATACCCAGGCTGTGGGTTTGATCCCTGGTGAGGGTGCGTGCGGAAGGCTACCAGTTGTGTTTCTCATATCAATATTTATCTTGTTCTTTCTCTCTAGAAATTAAATGAATTGTTATCAATAATTATTTTATATTCTTTTAATCTCACACAAAATTATTTTCCCATAAGAATGTTCACCACAAAATTGTTAATAATGAGAAGCTCAAAACCTAAATATCTATCAATGAGGGGATTATCTAAAAGTTTTGGCATTTCTATGCAATAGAATGCAGTCATTAAGAATCATGATTATAACTAAATAAAACTATGAAAACAACATGCAGTTTGTACATATTCTCTGGTCTCAGACTTATATGCATGTGCACAGCTTTGTCCCTGGAAAGGATGGCAAGGAACTATGCCATTTTCTACAAAGCAGTTACTTATCCTTGGGTGGTAAAGAAAGGAATATTTTTGTTTACTTTAAAGCTCTCTGTCTTTTCAAAATTGTAGTGAGTTGTATATACTTTTCTAATGTACAGGGAGAAGTAAACACTGCAGACAGTGTGAGTAATGAGGGTGTTTTTCATCTTCCATGCTGACTTAATTAAGAAACTGTTACATTTCTATTTTGTTCTGTAAAAAATAGTTTTCCTCTTTCCACCAGGAAGCTCCTCAGGGTGCTCCCATTGCCGACGGAGAACTGGGGAGCTCTCGTTGGAGAATGGTGCTGCCATCCGGACCCCTTTGCTAATAAGCCACTTCATCCGCGAGAGAACGACTGCTTTATTGGAGACTCTTTCTTCTTGGTGAACCTAAGAGGTGATATGTGGCAGCCAAGTCCTCAAGTAGCTCCAGAGGAGACACACTGTCATTCTTCTGAGAACCATTTTAAATCGGTAAAATACCTTTTCTGAATACTTGATGCTAGTTTAGAAATTGGCTAAGAAACTGGTTCTTCCATCTTTTCTTCAGAGTATGCCACACAGACTGTTCTACAGATCAAAACAGCCCACAGGGGCTGAAGGACAAAGGGGAGAGAATTTCCTCATGTCTAGAATTGGGAATGTGTTATTGAACCCACCCAAGTGCCCTACTTATTTTCTTGTTTTGAGGATGATATTCTATAATCCATGTACATTTTATCCTCGTCAGTCTGATTTAAACTAAAATTGTTCTCTTGCTCCAGGATAGCTACTACAGTTGGGTTCCTAGTCTAGACTTCTGCTCACGTCATAAAAGCAAATGCCAGAGCCCGAGCCTGGAAATGAAGCCTGTGCTGCGGGCTCCACCGGTGGTGGACAGCGCGAGGTCAGGTGGCTCTCGCTCTCTGCTTTGCTTTAGGGAGAAGGCAGTTTCCTCTCACTGCAGAGAACAAGTGGTTTCCCTTATTTTAAAAGAAAAATCAATGACATTGACTTGGTCATGTGAGAAATCATTCTCCTGACGGCAAGTCAATACAGATGTGATTGAAAAAAATAAAGAACATCATAGAGAATTTTTATTTTAACATCTACTTATTGGTAGGGACAAAAGCAATGTATGCTAAGTTTCATTTAGAGCTCCTTTGCTTTTTGTAATGAGATCTGGGCCACTTCAGGAAATTTGCAGCAGTTGGGCAGCTCATGGGTTGCAAGTTAATTCATAGAACTATTTTCTATTTTGAGGAGGATTAAGGAAGTTCCTCAGATAACAAGTTAAGTTGTTATAGTTATTTACATGTCTCATCTCTCACCGTAAACACAAATCCCTTTACCTAAAAAGGGTTCATTTTAAGTTATACTATGTTATCTTTCTATAATTTAAAAAGATAAATGAATGGCAAGAAGTTAATATAAACCTGTTATAATTATATTTAATATGGTTTTATTAAAATCATATTTTATACTAAGTTTATATACTAATACTATTCTGTTTTATTTGTTTTATCTTTCATTTTTATGATTAAGCTATAACTTTTTAAATATATATATATATTATTGATTTTTTTTACAGAGAGGAAGAGAGAGGGGTAGAGAGCCAGAAACAACGATGAGAGAGAATCATCGATCAGCTGCCTCTTGCACCCCCCCCACTGGGGATGTGCCCGCAACCAAGGTACATGCCCTTGACCGGAATCGAACCTGAGACCTTTTAGTCCGCAGGCTGACGCTCTATCCACTGAGCCAAACCGGTTTCGGCTAAGCTATAAATTTTTAAAACATGTTTGGAGGGCATGAGTGGAAGAGGAGTGAAGATTAAGAGAAATCATGAATTACACTTTCTTAGATAAATTCTACACTATTGACATATATTCTTTGCATTTACTATGTCCTCATCAGTTATAGGATGCCACTTACAATTTCTCTTAATTGCGAACAGCTATACTATTTGTTAAAGGAAGACCCTCCATATTCAAACACTATGGTTTTTAGTTTCAAGGAAGCTGGGAAGTTACTATCATAACAAGCTACTGTTGGCAAGATTGTTTTCAAGGTAGCTGGGATGGAAGTTTAATTGCATATTGCAGCAGTCCAAAGAGTATGCCCGTGACCAAAATAGTACCATAAATTTAGAGGGACTGCTTAAACAGTGCTCTCCAGGCTCCTGTGGGGGCAAGGCTGCTCTGTGCTGTTGAAAACCTATTTCTCATACCACCCAGGCTAGCCATCCAGCAGGGTTTTGAAATGTCACATGTTGACACAGCATCCTAATGGTATCTCTTGGGAACCTTTTTTTTTCTTTCCTTTTTTTTTTTTTTTTTTTTTTTTTGATGAGGGGAGACATCAAGCGTCCTTAGAAATGGAAACAGCACAAAGAAAAATAAAATCGCGGACAGGAAGCTAATCCATCTCTGAGCAGCAGTGCCATCTCTCAGATATATTGACTTAATTAGTCACAACAGTGTCTTTGATGCTTGCTCTGTAGAGTTCCCGCACTATTAGGCTGTTTCCTTGCACAACTTGCTTTAGTCTTTCCTTTAAGCATAGGTTAAAAACAATGTATTACATAGCAGAGTTTCTCTTTAAACAAAATTAAAAGTATTATAATATTTTAATTAAGAAGATCTGATTTTAAAAACAGCATAAACACACATATAAGGCCCATCACATTTCTTTCCTTCAGTATCCCCATAGAGTGTACAGTTTGTCATTTGTGCCTGTATTAACATGGCAGTGATATATACCTTTTGTTTTCAAAAGATACCTCCTGAGATTGTCCTATTTTTTATTTTTTTTGCAGTTGTTTGTTATCTCTTTTGCTATATTTTCATGTCTACCAGCATAGTAGCTTTGCATCTTTTAGTAAAAGGCGAAAGATTTATGCGATCCGAAGAGAAACCAGAGTATAGTAGCTTTGCATCTTTTAATAGCCTGGTAAGGATGGCACCCCAACCATTTTGTAAGATTCATAAAATTATTCTCAAAAGTATGGCCACATATACAACTTCACCCTATTTTTGTAAAGAACTAATGAACCTGAACTTCAATTACATTATGGACTAGAGGCCCAGTGCATGAAATTTTGTACACTGTGGGGGAAGGTTCCTCAGCCCGGCCTGTGCCCTCTGCAGCCCAGGACCCTCCAGGGATGTCCGACTGCTCATCCTTCTTGCAGTCCGGGACCCCTCACTCCTTACCACCCACCTGCAGCAAAGCAGGAGAGGCTCCTGCCACTGCTGCAGCTCTCGCCAGCTGTGAGCCTGGCTTCTGGCTGAGTGGTGCTCCCGATGTAGGAGCACACTGACCACTAAGGGGCAGCTCCTGCATTGAGCATCTGCCCCCTGGTGGTCTGTGCGCATCATAGTGACTAGTTGTTCCGCTGTTTGGTTGATTTGCATATGAGGGTTTTATTATATAGATGGTCAGTATGGCTACCCGCTTTACCTTTCTCCCTTTCCTGGGTACTTATCAATTATTTATTGATTTGGGTAAATTTTTTTTAAAATCCATGAAGATGTCCTTTTTTTATTTTCTTAGAATAAGTGTTGGACTTTATAAACATTCACAAATGTAAACAGAACAGAATTTTAAACTTCAGTTTACCAATTGAGTTGATTCACAATGTATTCTTTACCTGTCCCTTTTATTATTGTGTGTGTACTTGAAAGCAAATCCGAAACATCATATCATTTGATCCTTATATGGGTTTTTCTTTTTTAGATAACCACAGTGTCATTTTCACATCTGACAAATTTAACAGTGATTACTTATGATACAGTATAGGCTGTATACAAATTTTCCCAATTGTATTAAAAGTATAATTCACTGTCAGTTTATTTGAATCAAAATCCACACATTTGGTTGTTTGAGGTTATTTGCTTTTTATTGATCATATTTTAAAATCCTGATTACTGTTTTAAAAAGATAGAATCTTATTGTAAAAATATACCAACAAAACCCACTTTTCCTACTTGATTGAACAAAGCGAAATGTGCTATAAATAAATAAGATACATAACAGAGTACCTGATGAAGAAAAATTTCCATTTCCATTGGAAAAATCCCTTCTCAAGCATTGCTACTCCAACACCCAATATTAATTTTTAGTAAAATCCTTACTTTTAGGCAAGGTTTAGTTGGAATGTTCTCACTTAACTTGTACAAAGTAGGACCCTTTATAAACTGTCTTTAATACCACTTTGAAGCCATACAGATAGATTTTGACTGAAAGAAAGCATGAAACTGCCAAAATGTCACACTTTGCAGTTGGACATACTGGTTTCTGAGCTGTCTTCCTGTAACCTCGCCTGAACCTGAACAAAGAGGCACCTGCCTTGGTTTCTATGTCTGTGGCTTTGGACTTTTTTTGATCTCTCACTAAACTCAGAATTAAATTTTTTACATTAAGATTTTATTACACACATACACATCTCAAGTAAAAGGGTCATGAAGCAGAACTTACCTTATGTTTGAAGCACTGTGATATTTTAATTCAGGCTGTAACCGATTGAATTGATTCCAGGAATTGATTTGGAAAATATTTGACATAGTGATTACAAGCTTGAGCTTTAGCATCTAGGGGACCAAGATTCATATGTCAACACTATCAGGTACTAACAGCACATCCTTGGAACTCAGTTTAAATGTGCTTGTGTATAGTTTTTCAGGAAACATTTATGTCATGGTAAATATAATTCTACTTCCTTATACTAATCTGTTAAGACCTATTTCTTAGATTACTACATAAGTTATCCCACATCAGAAAGTTACTATTTCCTCACTTAGACCAGCATTTTTTGGGGGGATTTTCAAGAGGGATTGCCTCAGGTGGCCAGAGTTGGAGAACCGTATTCTCCCTGCCCACTTTTATGTGACTTCTGCCATTTAGCAGTATATCTGGGTGAAACAAATACTGTGTGGCTTTAACACAGGTATCACTAGGGATGTGAAAAGGGCTTTCTTTTGTTGTTGGTGTTGTTGTTTTTAAGATTCTTAATATACAGAGGCTGCCTAGTAAAGGATAAAAAATCAGTCCCTTTGTGGGAGGGTATGGGTTTTTTGCCCATTTCTGGGATGATTTGTGCCAATAGTATATATATGTAACATCCACCTTAGTAGTTACCATGTACCCAGGATAGTGCTTTTATAACACACTTCTCTAAATCCTAATAAATAACTGTTAATACTATTAAGTCCATTTCACAGATAAGGAAGCCAATATAGGATAATTAACTTGCCCAAGGTCACAAGTCTAGTAAATAACAGAGTTGGGATTTAAACTTAAGAAGTCTGGCCCCAGCCGAAACTGGCTTCGATTCCGGTCAAGGGCATGTACCTTTGTTGAGGGCACATCCTCAGTAGGGGGTGTGCAAGAGGCAGCTGATCGATGATTTTCTTTCATCGATGTTTCTAACTCTCTATCCCTCTCTCTTCCTCTCTATTAAAAGTCAATAAAATATATTATAAAAAAAAAAAAAAAAAAAAAAGATGCCGAAACCGGTTTGGCTCAATGGATAGAGCATCGGCTTGGGGACTGAAAGGTCCCGGGTTCGATTCTGGTCAAAGGCATGTACCTTGGTTGTGGGCATATCCCCAGTAGGGGGTGTGCAAGAGGCAGCTGATCGATGACTCTCTCTCATTAATGTTTTCTAATTCTATCTCTCTCCCTTCCTCTCTGTACAAAATCAATAAAATAAAAAGAAGTCTGGCCCCAGATTCTGAGCTTTTAACCACTTTGCTATTGCTTATAACATTACTTCTACAACAAACCACAAATTAGGAAGACTTTTTTAAATTGAGGTATAATTGACATTTATGTATTACTTCCAGGTATATTGTATAAGGATTTGCTATTTGTACATATTGCAAAATGATCGTCACAATAAGTCTAGTTAACATCCATCACCATAGAGTTGCATTTCTTTTTTTATGTGTGATGAATACTTTTAAGATTCACTCTCTTAGCAACTTTCAAATATGATATATAGTTTTATTAATTACAGTTGCCTTGCTGTACAATACATCCCAGGACTTTATTTTATTTATTTAAAATACATATATATTTATTTTTACCTATTTATGTTTATTTTGCCCCCCTCCACCCATTTTTGCCTACCTTCCCCCACCCATCCAATCTCACCTCTGCTAACTAACATCTGTTCTCTGTGTCATAAAGAGCATTTTTTTATTGTTGTTTGCTTAATGATTAGGTGAATGATAATCATTAATCTGCATCCCAAATGATGAGTATGGATTTTTGAAGTTTAAGAATGTTTCAGGAATTTGTCCCAGAACACTAGCCATCTTTTCTGTTCTAATGTGTATGCTAACTGGAAAAATAAAATAATATGAATGGGTTAGATATTTTTGGCTTCTGATGGGTGTTATGAATTATAGATGACTTTAACATAAGCAACACTGGAGTAGGAGAAAAATAATGAGTTCAAGTTCTGATTCTTTTTTTTTTTCTAGACACATGAGTTGTGGCAAGTCACCAACCCTCTCTGCCTTTGTTGCCCACCATGTGCCAATTCTAAATGATTGGGATATTTGCAGGAGCTTTTAGCAATGTAAAGCGCTCCTTACTCAAATTGGCAACATTTAGATTATCAAGAAGAGGCTAGGTTTGGAAAAATCATTCTGTTCATTATTCTGTCTTTAGACTTGAAAAAATTATCTCTGTGTATGTGAATTATGCAACAAGCTAAATGTATTCCCAGTATTTAGGAGAGGGCAAAATAAAATGTAAAGTTCAATGTAGACCCTAGAGATTATGTTAAAATTATATGTTCCTTTTAAGAAAAGCAGAATGACATTTAAATGACATTTTTTCTGTTCTACAGAAACCAAAGGCAAATACCAAAGTAATTTGTAAGCGTTGCAAGGTAATGTTGGGAGAGGCCATGTCATCAGGTAAGAAAAAGCCAAAATGATTGCCTTTTTGCTAAAAAGCCAATAGAAGGAGGTTTTATAGGAAATATATATGTAAGATAGATGACTAATATATGTTATAGAATTTATACTTTTAATAGAAATCAACTAACATCCAATAGGCTAAGAACTTTGTGTGTTTTGGCATGATAATTGAATTTTATAACTACATGGTAATTGAATTTTAGGCATGAAGAAATAGGGTCATTTGTAATATTTCATATCCTCTTTGTAGATATAAAGCAATTATATTAACTTTATAGTTGGGTTTGTCTTAAAAAAGATTGGAGATTATTTTTCTAATCTGATAATTGATAATTCCTCAATCAGAAGAGTTGGTTGCCAAAGGTGATGGAAAAGTTGCTTGTCTTGGCTGCCCTCTGCCTCAGGGATGTATTTTGGGGCTAAGGGTGGGAGAGAACCTGCTGAAATGGAAGAAAATACATTTTGAGTTTTGTACTTTGCTCCTTGTTTTCCCAATAATGTTAATTATATTTTACATAAAGTCTATGTTATACTGCTTTGAAATGTAATAATGAAAATCCCAGTAATTAAAATGCATACTATTTAAAGATATAATTTAAAAATATCTACAGCTACAACATGCTGCGTTAGCTTTGTGGGAGATGAATAATAGTTTTTAATATAATCGGAATCTTCTAAGTAGTTACTTCCTTGGAGTGAACAGAAAAGGAAGAATGAGCAGCAGTAGAGGATGCAGTCCTCCTCTTCACTGTTATTTTTGGAGAATGAAAGCAAGCCCCTTAAGCAGCAACTTAGAAAATTTAAGTTAGGTAAAGTGAATTGATTTTTTTAAATGCTTTTCACTCCTCCCTGAAGTCTAGTCAAAATGTATGTTAAGTAATTGAAAAGATATGCATCCCCACTGACAAAGAGAAGTAGAGGACAAAGCAATAGGACGTAAACGAGGGGTGTAGGCAAACTTTTTTCAAAGCTATAAAAGCTGGGAGACACCCTGGGGAACAAAGTCAGCAATGTGGGGAGAGCCATAGCCTATGTGTCTGCAGAAGGTTATTGGGTGAGAAGTGAGCCAGCGTTCATGGTAGCACCCCACAACTAGTTACAATTTGCTGGCAAAGGGAACAGGGAAGGCAGTCTGAGACAAAGAGCTGGAAGCAAGATGATTAAATCAAAGTTTATATAGGGAGCTCCCATTTCTACTCTTCCCCTTGCAACTTGCAACTTTCAAGCGAGAAGATTGGAGAATCCTTCTTGGAGTATTGGGAAGTGTACCAATCAGAGGAACGATTTGGAGACACCCATTCCTCGGGATCTTTCAATAAAAACGAACTATCCTACAATCAGCTAGCCTTATACCTACAGCCAGAAGCTTTCCATTAGCATTTTATTGCCTTACACTTAATTATAAATGGATTGCTGACAATCAACAAATATTTGAGGAAACTTCCAACATGAAAGAGACCAAAGCAAATAAGTTAGTTAGCATAGCAAAGGCACTTAGAAGAAACAAATTATGTATAAAAATAGAAGAAAATCTTTTCTAAAACATAATAAATGTCCTCAGAGAATGAAATAATACTTCCTTTATAATTCAGAGAATATAGAATTAAAGGTGTAATGACTTTAAAAACTAGTCATAGGACTGGACGATAAAATTAAGGCGCTAACTTAGAAATCTATTGACAGAGACTGAAAATTGGGAGAGGAAGTATTTTTAAAAAAAATAATCACCTAAGTTTCTGGGGGATAGGGATATTGTTCATCTCATTTATCATGTAACCCAGCACTTACTAGTAGGACATCTGGCACATGATGGGTGTCTAGTAATATTTGTTGATGAATGAATGCACTGAGCTTTTTAGGACATCTAACATCTAGATAATGGGAATTCTAGAAAAAGAATAGAGACAGTAGAGTGTGGAGAATTATCAGAGAACATAATGTATATATATCTCACAAGGCTATTTTCCAGAGCAAGAGCGTAAGTTTGTCAATAGAAAGGGCCCACTAAGTGTCAAGTATAATTAATGGAGGAATAGCAGGGAAGCTACTCCAAGCCATGTCATTGAGTAATTTCTGAACACCAAGGATGAAGTTTCCAGAGAGAGAAAAAAGGAGGTAGTTGGACAAACGATTAGGAATTAAAACTTCACAGCAGTGTTGAAATCTAAAAGACAATGAAGCAATGCCTTCATAATTTAGAAGAAAAAAGATTTTTAACCCAGAATACTATACACAAACAAATCATGACTCAAGTATGAAGATAACAAATACAGTTCTGGAAATAACATGATTTTAAAATATAGATCACAATGGTATATTTTCCTTAGGAATTTAGTATAGGGTATTTATCACCAAAACTAGGGATTCAATCTCAAAAGAGAGGACATGGGATTTAGGAAACAGATTATCCAACACAGGAGAGCAAGATAAAAAAAAGTCTCAAGATGAGGGATGTGCTGCGGGCCTAGAGAATAACAGTCTGGGGTGAATCAGGAGAGAAGATTGCAGTAAAGATGTTTTCAGTTGTAAGGTGAAACTGATAAATTTTTTTATTTGTTTGACCACATGAAACAAATAATCTTGAGATAAATGACTTCATCACATGGGAAGAATTAGCTAAAGGTGCTTGGAAAATGAAACACATGAAAAACAAAGCAATTATACACTGCAGGAAAACAGAAGATTGAACAGGAAAGGAAACATTGCCATTGTATCATTATGATCCCCATAGTGTAAACACTGAATATTGACTTAATAAAAAATCTTTACGATGTAATATATATGTATATTAGGGGGTCCATATATGTGGAGGGTGTGTGAGGTGATAAAAGTAAATTAGAAGGACTTTACTTTCAAAAACAGTGCTATAAAGAAGAGTTCCATTCTGTAGAAGACAAATACAAGACTGTACAAGTTCAAAAAGTTGTTAAGAACAATCTCTGAAAGACCAGAATGAAGCAGCGATTTGAGGAATGATTTAGTTATGAGTAACTGCTATAGCTTTTTCTCAGGATAGCAAATGTCTCTTGGGGGCATTGTCATGTTCCCTGCCTCAACTTGGGCAGGAAGCACTCAGCTTTATTGTTTATAGGTGGTAATTGTGATTGAGGTGGAAACTGGAAATTAAAGAGGAAAAATTTGGAAGCATCAGGGACATAGAAGGGCTGAGATATTATCTTCTCCACACAACTCTGGCTGACTGCTAATCGATACATGTGTGCAATAGATGCAGAGTTCAATAAGAATTGAAAGCTTGGGGAGACCTGCACATTTGCTGTACCTTGGATTGCATTCTTCAATCCACACACAACTTGAGCAGCAGAAGGTGGGAGCCTTACTGGCTTGAGGTGTTTAAGCAGAACTTCTTCCCAAATTTGCTGACAGCTAAACTATGCAAGTACAGTAAATACTCTCTAGTGAACTGGCTAAACAAAATAAAACTGAGCAGAGTCATTAGAGGCCACACAGTGTGGAAAGACATATTTCACAGTTTGAAACCGGGCTATATCTATAAACCATCAACCCTGAAGAGAACAAAAGACTATCCAGAATTGCTACAATGTATTTCATATGATGTCTCACTTCCATCTAGAAATTGTAGGCAAAGAGATAGAACAGAGCGATTCATTTTCAAGGGAAAAAACCAGAATTCAGTAAACAGGTGCAGAGTAAGCACAGATATTAGATTAGCAGACAAAGATATTGAGCAGCTATTATAAATATGACAACAAATTTTAAAAACCCTCCTGTGTGAACTAATGGCAAATCTCAACAAAATGGAAACTTAAAGAACTAGCTGATAATTGCAGGGCTGACAATTACAGTAACTATAAATTCATTGAATTAGCTAAGCCACATATTTGAGATGACAAAAGAAAAAAAAAAAATCACTGAAATAGATTAATAGAAATTAACCCAGAAAACAAAGAAAAAAGTCTAAAGCACAATGAATAGAATCTCAGAGATTCAAGGTACAATCTTAAGTTTTTCAATAAATGTGTAATTGGAATTTCAGAAGGTGAGAAGAAAAACAAAGGTCAGGAAAAAAATTATAGAAAAAAATGGCTGAAATATTGGCAAATTTGCTGAAAAATATTAACTTTCAGATTCAAGCACTGTAATGAATCTCAAATAGAATAAACGAAAAAGCACACTTCACCCAGGCACATTATAGTCAAACTGATAACACCTAAAAATGAAAAGCTCTGCCAGTGTGGCTCAGTGTTGTAGCGTCAACCTATGAACCAGGAGGTCACAATTCAGTTCTAGGTCAGGGCACATGCCTGGGTTGTGGGCTCGATCCCCAGTGTGGGGCATGCAGGAGGCAGCCAATTGATTGTTCTTTTTCATCAATGATATTTCTATCTTTTCCTCTCCCTTCTCTGAAATAAAAAAATATATATACATATATTAAGAAAAAACTCAAGATTCAAAGAGAATATTCAAAGTAGCAAGAGCAAAACAAAATACCACATATAGGAATTTTAGGATATAATTGAGGCTGACTAATAGTAATAATGACAGCCAGAAGACACTAAAATGAGATAGTCAAAATGCTAGAGAGGGGGAACACCTGTCAACTAATGATTCTATACCCAGCAAAACTATCCTTCAAAAATGAAGGCAAAATTAGAACATTTTTATATAAATAGATGGAAATAATGTATTACTAGCATATGTTCTCTACAAAATATTCTCAGCAAAGTTATTCAGGCTAAAGTAAAAGATACCAGCAGTAATTGGAATCCAGAGGAAGGAATGAGAAGCAAGGTAAATGGAAATTTTGTGGAAGTTACCACAAAAGCAAACTCCAAAGAGTTTAGCACAAAATTGAAGCCACCTTTTTCCTGCAATTTGCCTGTTCTCTAAAATTAGAACTTATATTTTGGTTGCTTTGGGAAGTAAAGACAGAAATCTAAGACTATGCAAGATGGAAACCTACTAAGTGCCTATACAAAAATATGAGATGCTAAAGAGTCATATCTTAACAGTGATATCTTAACGGCAGTCATATCTTAAAAGCAGACCAGCTCTGTAGAATTACAGACAAGTATCAATCCTTTGGGACTTTAGGATATTTCAGGTCTTGAACTTGGTTATTCTGCTTTGCGCAGACATAACACTGTGTGCCTGGCAAAATCAAATGCAAATCACTTATGGAGGAAGGTATTTTCAGAAAATCCATCAAGTGCAGTGTTCACTTATAACCAAACATAAATAAGCAAAGAAGTAAATCATTATTCTGTCAGGACAAAACAGCAAACAATAGAAACAGAATTCTGTTATTGGAATTTTCAGATGTAAACTAAAACAACCATGCTGACTATATTTAACAATATAAAAGGCAAACTTGATGATCTGAAAAGGCAAAGGAAACTAACATTTGAAAAAGATTCATAGTAGAATTAAAAAAAAAAAATATATATATATATACATATATATATATATATATATATATATATATATATATATATATATATATATTATAATTCAGTCCTGTATTGTGTGGCTCAGTTGGTTGAGCATCGTCCAGTGCACCAAAAGGTCACCAGTGTCCAGGTTGTGGATTTAGTCACTGCTCATGGTGTATATAGGAGGTAACCAATTGATGTTTCTCTTTCACATTAGCATTTCTCTTTCTCTCTCCCCTTTTCCCTTCTTCTCTCTAAAATCAGTAAGCAAATTTAAAAGTAATAATGTATTATAATTGAAATGTAAAATTCAGTGAGTAGTATAATGGCAGAGTAGGTACAATTTGGAGAAAGAATTAACAGAAGATACATAAGCAAAAAAAAAAAATCTGTAGTCTGACAAAGAGACAAGAAGGTATATTGGAGTAAGGGACATAAATCATACTCTGAGAAGACTTAACGCACGTTTAACCAAATTTCTAGAAAAGAGAAATAGAATGGAAAATAGGCAACATGTGAAGAGATAATTGCAGATAATTTTACAAAACATATGGAGAACATAAATATGCAGATTCAAAAAGTCCAGTGAATTCTAATGATATGAGGTCCAAGAAAGATAAATAAAAACAAAGTCATACCTAGACACAGTGACACTACAGGAAAATGAAAGCAAAGAGGAAATCTTAAAAACAACCAAAGAGAAATAACAGATCACCTCAAAGGAACAGTAGTAATGGACGTTTGAAGAGATTGGAATGATAGTGACAGTGCGACCATAGGTCAAAACACTTAACCTAAAGTTTCATGTCAAGTGAAAATGTCCTGATATGAAAGAATCAGGACAAAGATAAATATATTTTATGAGAAATAAAAACTGAGCTATTTCACCTCTAGTAGTTTGGTTTCTTATTCAAAGAAGTTTTACCTATAGAAGAAAGTGATCCCAGATAGATGGTCTACATTCAAGAAGAATGGGCAAAAAAGTGATAAATATGTGGGTGACACTAAGTTAATATTAACTGTATAAAACAACCTTAATAATAACCTGTGGCATTAAAATTATTTTAACAGCAGCTGGGATAAAAGGAATCACTTCATAAAATTAGAAGGTTCAGTTCTTTATTTAGTAAAATGACTTCAAAATAGTAAAGTGAAAATGAACTTCAAAGAAAAATAAATGCATCATTATGGTTTGATATATAATATTCTGTTAAGCAGTATTGACTTTTTTTGGCCTTTTTCTGTATTGGGCAATTGAAAACATTTTCAGAAAATATATTAGGAACAAATTTTATCTTATAAAAGCAAAAATTATTTGGTACAGTATTTTAATGACTAAATAGAATTTCTATCCCTAAATGTATAATTGTTTATTTAATCCCATCCATCCTTAATTTTTAGACATTTAATTTTTCAATATTTTTTCTATTTTTATGAGCATCATTATAGATAATTTTTTGGAAATACCTATGAGTATTCCTTTGAGATAAGTTCTTATGATATTAAAATATATACACATTTTTAAGGCTTTTGTTAAATAGCTTTTCAGAAATATGTAATTTTCAATTCTGACAACAATTTGTGAATGTGTACCCACTTCTCCAAGTGTTCATTAGTGCTGCACCTTATCATTAAAGTTATTTTATTTATTTGATGCAAAAATAATTTCATTTTAATTTGTATTTCCTTCATTGGCAGTGAGAGTACATCTTTTTCATGAATTTTTAAATAATACAAAATGGTTGTGTTTATATTTATTTCTATGAAATATTTAGTTTATTGTTTACATTTTTCTATAAACTAAGTAAGCAGATAACCAGAATTGATGGGAATTGTACTTTTATACACTCAGTGAAATTTTGGGTAAATTCTAATGTAAGATTCACAGCATCTGTGCAAGGGCTTCAGGTACTGTGACTAAAAAGCCTTTTTCAGTGACTTGTAGGTTTGTAGCTGCTCTGTAGAAATGCAAAAACCAAGTGACTAATTTCCAGATCATAGGCCACGGCTATGTGACTAATTTTATAATCTTCTACATGTGTGCGCAGAGTCTTGGCACATGCTCTTCTGAAGTGACACCAAGCTGTCTGAAGCATCAGGGCTATCTCCTTGTAGTCATCAAGGCTTTATCTTCATAAACTCAGTCACTTTTAAAAAAACTTTTACTGAATCTTAATTTTATCAATATATCAACCATTTTAGTTTGAATGTCATAATTTGGGACCAACCTGCCCACAATAAAAATATTAATATATTGGGGATACTTTTTATTTTCTATTTTTTCTTTCTAGAAACCATTAAGTTTTATATGACAGAGGTGATTATGCAGCCATCTGAGAGAAATTTTCCCATCATACCAAGGTATAATAGCAAATAATATTTACTGGTATTCTGTAATTTCAAATGTAGAAAAAGATAGGTACAATGGATTACTTGGGAATTCATTTTTATTTTTACTTCTCTTCATTTGGAAAGATTAGTTGGATGAAACCACACTCGTAAAAGACTTCAGGATTTATTTATGGTTTCTTACATGATGTTATAGCAAATGTGCTCATATAAATCTAATTCATATTTGTGGTTCTTTCTTTGTGCCAGATACCCAAGGTTTTATAACCTAATCATCAATAGGTTTTTGAATAATTATTTTTGGTTGTAATTTAATGTACTTAAAATTTGAGATATGATTCAGTTGCCTAATTTTTTTTTAAAATGGTACTTAGCCACTAAATCCATTAGCATTTCTTTTGTTTGAATAGTCTTAGTTTGCAAACAAAAGTTAACTATAGTATATATGTCTTTTAGTTCATTGTTGATGTCTAATAATTTTGACAATCTAAATATAACCCTAAACTTTATTCTCCTATAAATGTTTTCCTTATGTATTTAAGATCTGGTACTTTAGGGGATCCAAATGGAAATATTGTAGACTAGAGGCCTGGTGCACGAAATCTGTGCACAGGGGTTGGGAGTGTCTCAACCCGGCCTGTGCCCTATTCAATCCGGGACCCCTCAGGAGATGTCATCTTAAACTGGCAGTTGGACATCCCTCTCACAGTCCAGGACCATTGGCTCCTAAACACTCGCCTGCGCCAGCCTGATCGCCCCTAACTGCCTCTGCCTTGGCCCAGCACCATGGCTTTGTCCAGAAGGATGTCTGGTCTAATGAGCATATTACCATTTTATTAGTATAGATCGATGGTCAGCAAACTGTGGCTCTTTAGCCCCTTGAGTGTGGCTCTTCCACAAAATACCATGGCCTGGGCGAGTCTATTTTGAAGAAGTGGCATTAGAAGAAGTTTAAGTTAAAAAAATTTGGCTCTCAAAAGAAATTTCAATCATTGTACTGTTGATATTTGGCTCTGTTGACTAACAAGTTTGCTGACCGTGGGTATAGATAATGCTGCCTAATGTTTGAGAGGAAATGTCTTGCCTTTTTAAACTTAGTTATTCACTAAGTTTAAAAAGGCAAGGGGGAACGTTAACTTATCTGACATACTTTGTTTTTGTTTTGTTTATTCTCACCTGAGGATTTCCCATTGCTTTGGAAGGAAGACAGAGAAAGAGAGTGAAACATCAATGTGAGAGAGACACATCCACTGGCTGCCTCCCAAATGTACCCCAACTGGAGATAGGGGTGAATCCATAACAGAAGTACGCATCCTTGACCGAGAATCAAACTGATGACCCTTCAGTGTGCAGGCTGACACTCTAACCACTGAGCACACTGGGCAGGGCTGACATACTATTTTTCATTCACTTAGGTTTGGGATGGGAAATATATTAAGGATAGGAGATTAGGATATAAGAAGACTAGAGCAAATACATTAAAATATATTAAAATCCACATTAGCACAGGTTGTGAGGGAAGGGATGGCATGTAGAAGAATCTGGCATGCACATGTCTCTGTCATTTGGGTACCCGTGGGTATTTTTGGCTCATCTTGCCATTTAGAGTTATTATGAGAGGCACATTGTGAGAATTGATTTCTGTTCAAACAGGTCTCAGTTTGTACAGAGCACTTTTGCCCAGTGCCTAGTGGAACTCTCCTCTGCTAGAAGCACGTTTAGATTCAGTGTTCAAGGTCATGACGGCAAACCGTACATCTTGGTAAGAAATTATTTCACTCAGCTTTTTGTCGCCCTAGTAAAACAGAGTCTCAGAATTTCTTTAGTTTTTGTCATTCTTTTTTCTTAATTCTCAGGTCTAGAAAACAGTTCATTTAAAAAAAAAAAAAAAAAAGAATTTTTAATGTCTTAATTTTACTATTAGTTTAATTCACAAATAAAACTTCCTTAACTTCATAACAAATGATCAAATGCTTCTATGTGCTAGATCCTAGGGTTATAGAGAGAAATTCAAGCTGATTCCTGCTCTGTAGAAGCTCATACCACAAAACAAAGTTTTCACTAAGTTTTTAATGGCTTTTCTTGGTCAGTATAACATAATTCTATTTTTTTTATACTCTTATGAATTTTTTGTTTGTTTCGTGATAAAAAAACTTAATGTGAGATCTACCGCTTCACAGATTTTTTTTTTTAAAGTATGTTTTTAATTGATTCTAGAGAGAGAAAGAGAAGGAAAAAACATGGATAAGAGAGAAACATCTATCAGCTGCCTCCTGCACGTCCCCTATTGGGGATTGAGCCCACAGCCAGGGCATGTGCCCTGACTGGTACCGGTAATGCAGTCAGCCACTCCTGGTGCATGGGTTGGTGCTCAAACAACTGAGCTACACCAGCTGGGACACTTCACAGATTTTTAAGTTCTCATACAATATTGTTAACTATAAGCACAGTACTTACAGCAGGTCCCCGTTTCTCCAGCCCCTGGCAACTACCATTCTACTCTCTGCTTCTATGAGTTTGACTATTTTAGATTCCTCATATAAATGGGATCATGCATTTTTTGTCCTTCTGCATCTGAATTGTTTCACTTAGCATAATGTCCTCAAGGTTCATCATCCATGTGGTCTCATATTACAAGATTTCCTTCCATTATATATATCTTTATTCATTCATAGATGGACATTCAGATTGTTTCTACCTCTTGGTTTTGGTAAATAAAGCTGGGGTCTCCTGTCTCTCAAGGTGTGGGACAAACTCTAGGTATGATGTCCCTGTGGGGTCAGGCTGAGCCAGACTCCAGCTGAGTTCACATCTTTGCCTGGCTCCTTCCGTCGCCTTATCCTGTTCACCTTACTCCCTGTCTCCTGAGAGTATTCCCTGATTGAATCACATGCATCCGAATCCCACTCTTCCACCAGTGGTGTTTGGGAATATCCATCCAAAGCCCTCTTCTGAACTGGGGGTATCAATCCTCTGATATTTGCCAATCGGATAAGTGAAAAAGGGTGGCATACAAATTTTGCATGTTCTTTATTGCTAGTTCTATTAACATTTATCATTTATTTCTTCTGTTAAGGCTGTTAATATTCTGTGCCTGCATTTCCACTGGGCTGGGTTTTTAGGAGTGCTTTATCTGTATTCAATACTTCTTTCTAGCTGGTTCTCTTTTTCTTCTTTTTTTCAAACTTTATCACGTTGATTACTCTACCAAGGTTATACTTTGAAAGGCTTACCTTCCTTAAAAATTATATAGATGGTTCTCTTATATTTTTTCTGATATTTTTATAGGTTTGTTTTGTGTTTGTTTTTTTTGAGTGGTGATAAGAGATAGGGGTTGCATGGTGATATCCTTATAATTGGACTTTTCTCTCCTTATCTTTAGCTATGGCTTTTAAATTCAGACAGTGTGGTGATTGAATCTTTGGCAAGTTCCAGAAGTGTCAAAAAGTTTCCCTTGTTGGAAGACATATTGAAGGCAGATTCCAGTTCTGCTCGGAATGCTGTCAAAGTCCTTTACCAGCCATGCATCAAAAGTAGGAATGAAAAGTAAGTTGTGCTCTTGTTTTCTCATTTCACATTATGTTTTAGTTTCTGTTGCCATGTTGTTGCTAAGAAATTAATGAATTAAATGGTACTGTACCATTTCCTAACTTGAAGTTTCTTGGAGTCATACTCCTAAATGTTAGCCTTTCAAAATAGATTGAATTATTATAGATGATTCATGCTAATGTGCAGAAAGCTTGCTTTTACTGAAAACAATTGGTCTTTTTCTTATAATCTCAGCTGTCTCAGCATATGGCTGCAGTACTAAATCAAACTCAACAACTATGAATATTTACTAGTACTGATAAGCAGTTTCCAGGCATTTGGGATACAATAGCAAATAAAACACAGTCCCTGCCTCCTTGGGTTGTCATTCAAAGAGGGCGAAGGCAGACAAAAATATCAAAGATTAATGTGGCCCTTACTATGAATCCAATTCTCATCTAAGGGCTTATAGCTCATTTAAGTCTAATAGCACTCTGTGGGTAGATACTATTATATTATCACCCCATCCTCTATAATAAAAGGCTAATATGCAAATTGACTGAACGGTGGAACAACAGGTCGCTATGACGTGCACTGACCATCAGGGGACAGATGCTCAACACAGGAGCTGCCCCTGGTGGGCAATACCCTCCCACAGAGGGAGCACTGCTCAGCCAGAAGCCGGGCTCATGGCTGGCGAGTGCAGCAGTGGTGGCAGAAGCTTTCCTGCCTTAGTGGCAGCGCTGAGGATGTCCAACTGACAGCTCCCGGACTGCAAGAGGGAGCAGGCTGGGCTGAGGGACCGCTCCTCCCACAACCCCTGCCAAGTGCGTGAATTTTGTGCACTGGGCCTCTAGGTTAGAGATAAGGATGCTAAGACACAGGTGTAAATATAACACCTAGTGAGTATAAAGCTAGGTGAGGTAGTTGGGGAGTGGTTAAAGGGTGTGGGAACGTTTTCATTTTATATTGAAAAGGCAAGGACGGTTCCATGGATTAAGATGATATTTAACCTGTTAACCGGGGAGTTCCCGGTTAATGACGCAACCTGTAACGGGCGCGTACTCTTTCACTAGGACGTGTCAGTACATCATGCCCGGAGGACGTAATTTCATATTATTTTTTTTTATTTATACTTAATGAAAATAAATGAAATATATATATATTTTTTTTCATTTATTTATATATATAAAGCACAAAGGAAAATACAAAATTACAAAAAAAATAGAAAAGAATACCGACAAAAAAAAATGGACATGTCAAATTAAAAAATTATAAATTTTACAAACAATGATAAAGATTACAAAAAATAGCCTAAACTGGTTTGGCTTAGTGGAGAGAGCATCAGCCTTCGGACCTAAAGGTCTCGGGTTCGATTCCAGTCAAGGGCATATACCTTGGTTGCCGGCACATCCCCAGTGGGGGGTGTGCAAGAGGCAGCTGATTGATGTTTCTCTCTCATCTCATCGATATTTCTAACTCTATCCCTCCCCTTTCCTTCCTCTCTGTAAAAAATCAATAAAATATTTAAAAAAAAAAAAAAAAAAAAGATTACAAAAAATATATACCGTCCCTCTCGGGGTGCAACATATATTTCAAGGATGTATTCATACGTCCTACCCATTCCCGATATTGTTTGACATATTTATAGGTCCCACTCAGTTAACAGGTTAATTGGAAAACATGAAGGAAGTTAGGGAGTGAGGCTGTTGGAGGAAAGAGCATTCCCAGTAGAGGAAACAAAGTCTTATTTGAACAGATTGGAAGTTACACTTGTCCTGTACTCTAAAATGGGTTCCATCAAATTTGTACCAGGAACAAAAAGGTCCCAGTCTTTTTCTGGGAAGTAAATAAGAAAATTTTAAAAATCATTGCTTGACTTTGAATTATGCAAGCAGTATAATTCATAAAATATTCATACAGTAGAGAGTAGAGGCAAATATGAAGTAAAATATGGAAGTTCTCCATCATTTTTCTTTCCAGAAGTAAAAAGTATGTTATGTATTAGTCCTTTCCTTTTTTTTTTTTTTTATCTTGTATTTTAGCATAAGTTTAATGGTACATGTATATTTTTTACACCTAAAAAAACACTGTGTCTTGGAGATCTGTCTATGCTCGACATTTTATGAAATGGATGTACTGTAAATATTTAACCATTTTCCGGTCGATAGATATTTGGGTTATTACTTTTTTTGCTGCTGTAGTTAGTACTGTCCTGTGTGTGTTGTATATTTGTTTTGTGATTATTTGTACTATTTTTGTAATAAGGATTTTTAGAAATATCATAGCTGAGTCAAAGGATATGACATTTAAAATTTTGATAGATAATATCAAATTGTTTTGCAAAAAGATATTATGGATTTATATTCCACCTGAAGTTTCTATAAATGCCCATTTTCCTGCACATACACACACACACACACACACACCTCAACTCAAGCTGCCGTTTAGATTTTTGTGCTTCTGATGCCAATCTAAATGAAATAGGTTCACTTGACTATCCTTGTGTTTTATTAATGCATGATCATAGAAGAAGGCTTATGTGTGTTTGATGCTTTGGGGATTTTGTAGAGTGTGTGTGTGTGTGTGTGTGTGTGTGTGTGTGTGTGTGCATTCTAATACATAGTAAACTTTTAAGTTGTTCATTGATTATATTCTTTATTCACTAGTATGGATGTATGTCTGTCTGTGCCTTTATGTATTTAGATTTATTTAGTAAGTTTATCAAAACCTTTTTAAATCATCTTTTTCATTTATTTGAAATGTGGATTTTTCAGAGGGGTGTGTTAAATCTCACTGTGCATACGGAAAAGTCATTTTTTTCTGGTTTTGATATCAGTTTTTGCCTGATGGGGTGGGCAGAAGTAGATTTGCAGCTGTACTTTGAAGCTCTGGATATTAAGAAAAGTGGGAGCAGATTCAGTTATGGTGGTGAACCTTGTGTTCATTATTATGAAGAATCTTCGCACTGCCTTTCCTGAGGAGTGTTGCAAGGATCATTACACCTGTCCCATTATTTCATTCATTCCTAACAAATCTCTGTGACTTCAGAAATATAATGACTATTATAGTTTGTGTTCTGTTGTATTTGATTAGTGGACTCTCTATTTTTTTATCTCCATATATCTTGGGATTGAGTTGATGTCCAGTAAATGAGTTTGATTACTTTAGTTTGCCTGTTTTATATACTTTTGTTGTGCTTTTCCTCTAGCTACTGTGTGACTTGGTCCCCCCACCCACCAAGGTAGGAGGGAAATTTTGCCAAGTTGTGTCAGCATCCTGTGAGTTATTTACTTTTGTTTTCTGAGGATGATAGTTTCTTTCTTTTTGGGCATGACTGAGGAAGCCGTAGACTCCCTGGCATATTTTTGGTGCATGGGTTGGTGCATTAACTATTTTAGTCCAATTGGCTAGAATTTTTTCTAGTGGAAGTGTGGATTGCCAGATGGCAGCCTAAAATAGGAGAATAGCAAATGTAACAAGGGTTTTACTTCCTTGAGCACACACACAAAAGTGGCAGTAATATTTTTAGAGTGTTCTTTCTTTCTAGCAATAGACACACATATCTCTTAACATTTTGAAATCTATTTTTTAATCTCTCCTCCCCTCACCCACAATTAACCTTCAACTCACATTCTTTAGTTGGCATGTCAGATTTAGATACTAAATACTAACTTTTTAGCTTTGGACTTGAAGTTAACTTTTGCAGTTTAATCTGCCAATTCATCAGTTTGCCTGTGTCCTCATTCTCTAGACTGGGGGTAATTTTCCCCTAAGGAGACATTGGCAATGCCTTTAGACAGTTTGGGTTGTTAGAACTTGCAGTTAGAGGGCTACTGGCATCTACTAGGTAGAGGCAGGGAAGCTCTTAAACATCATACAATGCATTGGAGACCCCCTACAACAAAGAATTATCCAGCCCCAAATGCTAATGACGCCAAGGTAGAGAAACCCTAATCTAGATTACCTGCTAAAATTCAGTTGTGTCTATCTTATCCCTATGGGTGGCATAGCCCAAATTTTTTTTGAAATTGTATTTAGGCCAGCAACTAAGAACCATTTAACTGTGACATGAGCCAAAATCTCTATAATCTTACATGTTAACTTCGTTAGAAAATATAATATGAATGTTTATTGTTATATTTTTCTCTTTTTCTGTTAGGGAAACATAAAGAATAGATTTATTTTTATTAAATGATGAAGAATTTTATAGGTATCTAGTCCTTATATTTTTAAGAGAAAAGAAGAAGGGGAATGTAATCATGAAGTGTAAATAAGTGTTGTTATTGTTTTAAGCTAAATTTAATTCTCCTCATTGTACAAGTTACACAAGTCCTAGTAGTGCTGTTTGTTTTTCCCACCGTTTTTAAGAGAGAACCAGTTTAAGAATTCAGAGAATTTGAACTTAGAAGACCTATTCTATGTTCTTCTATTAATAGAATTTTCTTGCAAAATATATTGAGGTAGGAAATGTTAAAGATATGTTATATTCACCCCTACTTATAATAGAATTTAGAGATTATATTTTATAAACTAACTAGGTTTCTCTCTGTTGGCTACATAGAGGTAATTATTGCTTCTAAAATAGAAATGTTATTTTTCCTTTAAGATGGTCTAATGAAATAAAAACAAATATAAACCACATCCATATGCATCTCATATGTATAAAATAGTATTAGTGGTTGTTTTTATTTGTGAAGTTGTATTTTCTTATTCTTTTATTCCTTTATTTCAGCAGGAAAATTGAAATTCTATGTATTCATTGTGATAAAAACCACATAACATAAAATTTACCATCTTAACCATTTTTAAAAATATATATTTTATTGATTTTTTACAGAGAGGAAGGGAGAGAGATAGAGAGCTAGAAACGTCGATGAGAGAAACATCGACCAGCTGCCTCCCGCACACCCCCCAGTGGGGATGGGCCCACAACCAATGTACATGCCCTTGACCGGAATTGAATCTGGGACCCCTCAGTCCGCAGACCAATGCTCTACCACTGAGCCAAACTGGTT